ACCTCTCGCCATCGCCTGGGCGTCCATTCCCTGTGCACTTTTCGGCTTCGTGCGCGCATTTCTCCGCAGCGTGAGCAAAAATGCTCCTCTCTGACTTTCAGTGGTCGTGTCGCCAAGCTCGGATGTCGGCGCCGGGATGTGATGGAGTTGCAGGAGGCCTCATGCGGGCCCATCCCGCGTCACTGCAGAATACAATCATCTCCTGCAACTTAAGGCCCTGGTCGATAAAAAATGTGCACGTCCGAGCGATGCCGAGACCTTCTGCCGTAGCTCACGCGGGCCGCCAGCGCGGCACGCCACATTTTGGAGAGGAGAGGGCGCGCACGCGCGGCCTGACGCGGGCAGCCTGCGCGCGAACGTCGGCGAAAACGACACCAGTTTTTGTTCGCGTCGCTCAATTTGAAGGGGCCCCAGGACACACAAATAAATACACACAAATAGAAATATTCCTTACATTTTCCCATGTTTTCTGGGTTTTTGTCTTCCCCCCCACTTCCCATATTTTCATATATTTTCTGAGGAATCGAAGATTAATTGTGTCTGTGTGTTTTTTCCTCTCCTGACAATTGACTGTCACCCTCCCCAGGAGTCTAAAATCTACTTACGGGAAGGGGGGACGGGGCGGAGAGGTCGGGAACTCACTGGCGCTCCTCCCAGGCTCCCTCGAAGCTTCCACACCAAGCCTGAGAGGGCCGCCAAGATGCCCAAGATGCTCTCTGAGATCGCTCCAGAGGGCTCCAGCGCGCCGGAGAGGCCTCAAGAGCCCTCGGGATGACCTCGGAACGACCCAGGACGCCGAAGAGGGCCCCGCGAAGCAGAAGCCGTAAATGTTCGAATGGCGCTTGAATGATTTTCCCGTTTTCGCCTGCTCGGGCGTCTGCAGGTCCGACACGGCGCGGTATGCCCCCCGGACTGGCCCAAGAGACCCCCCCAACGGGGCCAGGAGACGGCCCAAGGGCTCGAGAGGCCCCCAAGACGGCAAACAGAAACCTTCAAGAGGCCCCAAGAGGGGCCCAAGGGAGGCCCGATAGGGGGAACCCGCAGGAACCCCGGGAGCCCTCCCCCCCCAGACACCCAACATGAGCCCAAGAGGCCCACAAGCAGCCCGAAGAGGGCCTCAATAAACCACTGGCAGCCTTGAACAGAGTCCGCGAGGCGCTCCCCGTAGGCCTCCAAGGGGCCCCAAGAAGCTCGGCAACAGACGTGGAGGAAGACGAGGACGAATCACCAAGAACTACACGCAGGCAGCACGACGGAAAATGGCAAAAACCGCACACGAAATCGGAAGCCCTACATATCACATGTCATCATCTGGGGGTCGGCGGAATGGCGAACGCTTCTTGAAGAAAACTCCTCGGTACCGATACCTGCGGATCCGAAAGAAGCAGAGGAGGTGCTCAGCGAAGCGAGAAGAGTAGCACCAAGCGAGCGAGAGTTAAATACTGCAATCGGGCGAAAGTTGACCTCGATCTCGAACTCCGCAAACTGGGGCAGTTGGTATTGCAGCGGGGTCTGCACGACCGCATCCAAGGGTTCCTCCTCTTCCTCATCATCATCACCACCATCAATATCACCATCACCATCACCATCACCATCACCATCATCATCACCATCATCATCGTCGTCGTCATCCTCATCCTCCTCCTCCTCCTCATCATCATCATCATCATCAGCATCAGCATCATCATCATCATCTCAACGCTATCCCGTGCCACACCCATTTAGCGTTCCACTTTTTGCTGTGTGGGCCGGGGGCCTGGGCAGCCTGGTCAGGGGCCGGGACGCTGTGGAACCCGGGCCTGAACGTGTGGGCCGGGGGCCTGGGCAGCCTGGTCAGGGGCCGGGATGCTGTGGAACCCGGGCCTGAACGAAAGGAAAGCATTTCAGCGCGCTGAGACACGCAACGAGGCGAGGAAGCGAGCAGGGAGGGAGGGAAGGGGCGAGAGAACTGAGCCAGACGGTTTCGGAAGATAAGCCCTCGCGGCACTCAATCGCTAATGAGATGACAAGTGAGACACGACCATCTCAACGCTATCCCGTGCCACACCCATGCAGCGTTCCACTTTTTGCAGTGTGGGCCGGGGGCATGGGCAGCCTGGTCAGGAGAAGGGACGCTGTGGAACCCGGGCCTGAACGAAAGGAAAACATTTCAGCGCGCTGAGACACGCCCGAGTCCCGAATGGCAGCGTGGCCCCCGGGGGCGGACCGAGAGGGCACACACCGCACCCGGGGCCGAACACTCAAACATCATTAACTAACATTGACATTCTGCTGAAACCGATCCAATCTACCTGACACTGAATTATCCTGGCAAAAAACTGACAAAACTTCTTACAGAACGCACCTGGGCATTTCCCGAGCGGACGGCCTGGAGGGATCTACCCGAAAGCCCCTGGAGCCCGAGAGGAAAGGCCGCGGACCTGAGAGAACACCAGGAGGTCCCAGGGGGGCCGCGCCGCGCCCGGCCCCAGGAGGCACATGGGGTTCCCAACCAGACGGCTCGCACAACTCGAGATTTGAGCCACCCCGAGACCATCTGCTGGACCTCGGGGCTGCTGGTCGAAGTCCAGGGGAAGCGCGGCCAGGCCGAGAGACGATATCCGGGCAGAAAGACCACCGGATCCAGCAAGAAGTTCCAGAAAAACGGTGCGAGCTTTCACTGCGCGCCTCGGGGCCCTCATACATCGTTTTAAGTCCTGCAAGAGCCTGCGGCAGATCGTGCAGGCGGAGGCGGGATGGCCGCCCCGCTCAGGAAGATGTCGGCCAACGTCGCGTCGATTGCCCGCCCGTAGTCCACCACCCCGGCGGGAAGCTTCGCCATCTCCGCCAAGATCCGCCCGGGCTTGGCGCACCGCAAGAACGACTGCGGGCTCGCCCATCCCCCTCGAGCCTGGATCTCCAGGGCGGTCCGCCGCCGCGCCACGAGGTCGTCGGAGGCACCGCCGTGCCGCAGCTGATACGGAGAGGCCAGGGCGAGGCCGAGCTCCTCCGCGGCCGCGCGCATCTTTTGCCCGAAGTCGCCCGGGGGGTAGCTCCACAGTCGGTCCCTCAGCGTCCGGCACCGCCTCTTCAGGGCAAGGAGCGACGGGCCGAGGAAGCGGAAAGTGTCCAGGGGCGCTGTCATGCCCCACATGCCCGTCTTGCTGGGCACCCCCATCTCCTCCGGGAAGAGCACCAGCGCCACGACGCCGCCGTTGCCGCTGCCCTCCGCGACGCCCTCGACGACCTGCAGCCCGACGAGGGAGTCCGCCTCCCCGGGCCTCATGTAGGTGCTGAAGCTCAGGATCATCGCCACGACGTGCTCCACCAGCTGCCATCGCAGGAGCACGCCAGCCAGCGCGGCCACCACCAGCCAAGGGAGGGGCTGGCGCGAGCGCCGTGGGACGCACTTGCCCCACCCTGCCAGAGCCCGGGAGCAGCGAGGGATCGAGGCTCTCCGTCCCCCACCTGCTCAAGTTCGCCATAAAGAACTTCACCGCAGCCAGCAGCTTGGACGCATCGTCCCCGCTGTACCCCCGGAAGTAGAGCAGGTTGAAATACTCCACGAGCACGGAGTCGAGCTCCGCCGAGCCCTTCCAGTCCCGGTGGTTCTCGGAGGCCCAAGTCACGAAAGACTGCGCCCGCCTGCGGTAGTCGGCCAGCACGGGCTTCGAGATCGACCTCTGCTCCAGAAAAGGTCAACCCCGGCTCCAGCGCCACCTTCGCCGCCTCCCGGCAACGCGCCGCAGCGGCCGCCCCCGCGGCAGCCCCCAGCGCGATCCCAGCCCCAGGTAGGGCCAGGGGCCGATCCAGCGCGGCAACAGCCCCCAGCGTCGGCGCGCGGCCTGTCTTCCCCCCCGCCACCGTCTGGGGGGCCAGGGTCAGCACCGCGAGCTGCAGCAGGCGCAGGCTCCGCGGCCGCCCCTTCCCGCATCTGCGCGTCGATGTACAGGTAGCCGCGGGACGGGCGGTCGGCAGGATTGAGCTCACTCGGGACCCACCGCACGTGCAGTTGCAGGCGGCAGGCAAGCGCCAGCGCGCAGAGCTCACGCAGCACGCTGCGGAGCTGCGCCGCCGAACCTCGACCTTTCCCTGCAGCCGGGGCCAGAGACAGGTTGTCCACCAGAAGCACCGGGCGGTGCCCGAAAGCGCCCCACGACCGCAGCGCGTGCCGCAGCGAGGCGGATAGGGCCAGCCCCCCCGTGTAGTAGATGTCGTGCTTTTCCCGCCACGGGAAGGACATCGCAATCTTCCAGCTGGGGTCCTGCATGAAGGACGCCGGGACCTCGCCGAACTGCTTGTCCAGGTCCTTGGCCGCCTCGCTCGGCAGCGCAGCGGGCCGCCGCAGCGTGGTCGCCACCCCCTCGCCATCGAGCGCGTGCGTGCGGGCGGTGATGGCCTCATCGAAGTGGTACCGCCAGCGCTCCACTGTCCGCCCCAGCGAGGCTGCGGCGCTGCAACTGGCCTGCCGGACGCAGACCCCGCCGCCCCACGGCGAGGCGTCGGAGGCGGAGACCTCCGCATGCCACGGGGCTGCCAGGTGCGCGGAGAGCAGCGGCAGCAAGTTCCGCAGCGTGCGGAGCTCCCAGCGCACCGAGGCCCACAGGGGCAGGGCCTCGTCCCGCGCCGCCTGGCAGAAGCGGTAGCTCGCGTCGAAGATGGCGAGCGACGGCCGGCGCAGCAGCATGATCCAGGTGCAGTGCCCGAGGAGGACCTCCACGATCTCTCCCCGCGCGGACCCCCGGGCCAGCAGCTCGTCGATCGCATAGCGCACTCGCCACAGGCGCTTCGGGGACACGCGGACGCAGTGCGACGACCCGCACAGCTCCAGCCCCACGAACGAGCACCTCTTGCTTGCCCGCTGCTGCTCGTGCACTGAGAAGCCGAGGTTGACCAGCTCCGACTCCACCCTCGCCGCGGCGGCGTCGACCTCCGACTGGCTGGCGCCAAGCACCAAGAAGTTGTCCACGTAGGCGGCGGCGCCCAGGCCGTTCTGCTTGCCCAGCACCAGCCCCTCGCTCCGATCTCGGGCGTGCCGTGACACTGGCACACCCGCCCGCGCCAGGGCGGACTCCGTGACCATCTGACACAGGCGCATCGCCCAACTCCAACCCATGGGCAAGATGGTGAGCTGAGGGGTGAGCCAGTCGCCACAATCAACCGCTGCGCCGTCCAGAGAGGTGATCCCCACCATGCCCGCGCGGACCCGCCCGAGCTTAAGAACAGAGGCCCGCTGGGATCCGCATCGCGTAGAAAGCGTTCTCGATGTCCCCGCAGGCGAAGAACAGCGGAGTAGTGGCCTCACTCTCCAACCGAGAGAAGGATGCGGCCGACGGCAGCTCGGTAGCAGGCGCCTGCCGAAAGTGCAGGTTGACCAGCCTGGTGTCGAAGATGAGCCTCTGGCGGTCCCCCTTCTTGCGAACCGTGAAGGCCCCCAACGTTGGCGCCTTCCCATCCCACTTGCAAAACTGGAGCATGCCACGACGGTGCAGCTGCTGAAGAAACCGCCCATAAACCTTGGGGCCTCGTAGCCCAGGATCAGAGTAAGGGGCACGTAGTCCCAGTTCAGCGCGAAGCTGAGCAGCCGCCTCCGGGCTTCGAAGCATGTTGGCCTCCCAATCCGACAGCCGCGCCGCGTCGGCCGGCTGGAGGGCGGACTCGAGAGACACAGGAGCCGTCCCCTCTGCTGGCCAGGAAACTTTGTCCTCGCTGTAGGATGCCAGATCCGCCCGCTCCATACCGTACATGAGGCAGGCGCCGCAGAGCTCGCGAAGGCTCCCGCGGGGGCACGCGTCGTCGGGCGGCCCCGGGGATGCGGTGTACTGCTCCCGGATGTGCTCGAGCGCCATGTGCTGCAAAACTGAGGCACGACGTGGGCGACTCCCACTGCGTCCTGCCAACTCGTTGAGCGATCCGATGCCGAGGTTAGCCCACTGCAGTGAATGCACCAATCTATCCCGGCGACGCCCCACAGCACGGCAAGCCGGTTGTCGGGCAGGCAGATCGCGAAAAAGAGGAAGAGGGAACACATCTCGCTGACGACTGGGGCCCATGGGACCACCGGAGCGCGATGCTCAAGCCTGGAGGAGCCAATGAGGGTCGGCCGAGCTCCCTCACCAGCGGGGCGAGAGGTCGCCCCGTTCTCGTCACGTCTTCCCCTTCTTGCCGCCGCCGCCGCCGGGGCCACCGCCCCCGCTGCCGGCTCCGCCCCCGCCGCTGGGTGCGGCAAGCTGCCGCTCCTCTCGCGCCTTGCGGCGCTCCTTCGCGACGCTGCTCTCGGCCTGCAGGCGCTCCGCCACCCACTTGGTGAGCTCCGGGCTGACCATGATGCCCCGCGTCGAGCCCATGTCGGTGAAGAAGTACCCCTCGTCCTGCTGGAGCCCGCCTCCGCCCCGCTGCGACAAAATCCGCCGACCCTGTCGGCGCGTGTGAGGGGCTTTTCCGTTCGAGCCGTCATCTCCGTCATTCTTTGTACTCGTCGTCTCTGTCCTTCCCTTTCCCTGGGACTCCTCTTCCCCTGGGCTCCAGCCAAGCCGACCTTGAGCAACCTCGTAATTGAG